GGCATCCTGAGGTCGGTGAACCGAGTGAGTTGGAAAAGATTTCGAGTGTTGTCAGGGTAGAGAGTGATCGTTATCTCCAAGGCACGCTCAGACCATAAAACCTTGCGATCCTTGCGCAGGTTTTGCATGAGCTGTCATATGGCAGCGCGGCCTTTCTCATGGTAGCTTGATTCGGCCGGGATATTTCTGCGGAGCGCGAGAAGAGATCTAAGCCTTTAAAGAACCCCGAGTTGGACCACAGCTCGATTGACCGGAAGCGGTCATTGCTTCTTTACAGAATTCCATTGTTTCTTAATGTATTGTGATGAATTGCAACTGAGTACGTCTGTTAGTGAGGACTGATAGCCCATCGAGCCCATGGAATCAAGTATACTCTTACCATCCATCTAGCGATGCCTTGTTTTTGGAGACCACCCGAAAACATGCGGATATGCGTACACACCAGCACATGATCCGAGTCAATGAAGGTGGACCAGAATGATTTGCAGTATGATACGCTGTCACGTCAATTGAAGCTTATTGTAATGTGATTAATTTGAGACCACACATGTGTTGGCGAAGATGACGACAAGTTCTGGAAGGTTCCACCATTTGCCGGAAGTCGGTGCTCGAGAGGTACAGATGGTTGTTTCTGCACAATGTGAGTACGCTCTCTCCATTTTTTGTGCGGTCGTTATCTAGCGAGTGGTGACTACCTAGGGGACGTTCGTATGGTAACAATCAATGAAATCACCAGCGAGGACAACAATATCCGATTTGTTACCGCTATCTAAGAGCTAATGAAGCTCACGATAACATTCCTCCTTGACAGAGCCACTACTGCAGTCATTTGGAGTGTACGTTGAGATCACCTCAAGTTGCTTCTCTCCTTGCGACGTCTGTTAATTCTACAAGAACGTCCGAGGTGAACTAGATACAGTCGCCTGTTAATCGAGACCCAGTCTAGGAATGCGAGCTTGGCGTTATCACCTAGTGCTGTATCTACACCAGCCAAACCCGCTGTGCCTGCTCATGGGTCTCAGAAAAGTGCCAGGTAAGATGTGATGCCGTGGTTAGTATGGAGTGTCTGAGCTAGCACAGTGCTAGGGTCATGCAATCGTGTTTCCCATAGACAGGGGACGTCAAGATCGAAAGGCTTTCGGGTACGCACTCTACCGGTTTGTTGTTCTATCTGTATGAGTGGTCGTACGGTGCATCAAGCCAGACAGAATGTGGATTGAGATCGAAATAGGACCACTGGTTGAAGCTCATGGTTCGCGGTGCAACCGTAATCTCAGCAAATCTGTGAGCATTTTAACCAGGTAACGAAACACAAGGAATGTTAACAAATAAACAACTGACGTGTGATGAAGCCACTTGAGCGTAGATAAAAGAAGCGGTAGCAGATGAGCACATTCTAGAGCAATCAGAGTGTCTGATAATACAGGGTTACTCAAGCCAAAGTAGGCAGTCGAATTAGGGCCACCGGATCACGCCTTTGGCTAGATAGCTGTCTCGCAAGACAGCAGAAGGAATCCAGCGCATTGCGCCCAATGGGAACCGGTGACTGATTGCTGAGTTTATCCGCTTTTGTTTAGTCGGTTACCAAACAGGTGTCCTATCCTTCCCACGAATTCGACATCGGATTGCTGGAATACAATGATGCACCAGTGAATCAAGGGGCAGTGACTTTGTTTACTGGCGGGTCACATCCGCCACTTCGCAGGGTCGTTAAACAGACATATGGCACTTTATATGGAGAACGGTTGCCGGTCGGAAACGCCGTGGAACACTTTCGCTGCACCATTCGTTAAAACAGGATGATCCTGAAATTATCCAGCTAACACCACGAGGAGGTTGTTCGGCGAGCCAGCTTGTCTTAAAAATAGGAGCGGATCAAGTGCTTCACGTTTTCTGCTAATTTCTTCTGTAATTTCCGGCACTTAACTCATATCTGATGTATTCTAATCAGTGTGGAGATGCACTAACCACCTGATTTCCAACAACACGCAGCACTTGACAAAGGCAAGTTGAATGATGTGGCATCATTAACTAGCGCAGTGATATAAAAGCATGGCATCGTGGCCTTCGTTAGGCATGCATTCGGTCGACATATTTTCTGAAATAATTCTGTTTAGCAATCTGTGATCATTGTCCGAGAATGTGGGGCAGTTTACTCAAGTGACAACAGCGCACTCTCCTTGCTTTTGTTTATGCATTTGAACACTTTAGTGTTTTGCTCATGTCAATTGTTGTTCACATGTGATTGATAATCTAAAATGCTGAAAAGCCTCCCACCGAAGCACAACAAGGTTATCTTGACTTGATTTGGATATTTCGTCTTTCATACACGCACATGTTTAGATACAAAACCACGGATAAATTGTTAGTAAACAAACAAAGATTATAGTTATCGAAGTTGCGGTGAGCTGATCTCACGCAGGGTCACATCCAGAAACCGCGGCTCTATCACAATGCTTCCGAACTGATGTTTCACATATCCGACCCACTCAATAGAAGGTAAAGTACATTGCAAGCGGTATTTTATGTAAAGTTAAGAAAAGTGAAGTGGTCAAAAGTGCGGAAACCAAAGCAGAACAGGGCACATGACATTTGGTGTAGTTCGTGTTGATGAGACCTGCCAGTTAACCCGAAGTCCCTTTCAATGTTAAGACAGCAACCTCTGGAAGTGGCCGATTGATATCTATACAAATCCTATCGTTTCTAACTGTGTACCGCACAATCTCTTCTACCAAGGACTATTTTTCTCCCTGCGCTTTCTGATAGCTTATCAAGCTTCGCAGCTGGTGCGTAACTGATAGACACCAGAAATGGAAAACATTCGGACTGCAGTTTCCAAGCGGGTACAAGTTAAACTGGACGCACCCTAACCTCACCATAACTTTTAGGAAGCATTAATGAGTGCTGACTCAGTACGTTGTACAAAAGGCAGCGTTCACTTGCGTTGAGTAAATCAAAACTCTCCTTTGGTGGAGTAGCAAACGTCTAGGGTGCCTGAAGTATATCAGTTTCACTGACGTGGCCGCGGTGATAACTGGAGCAGCTCGCAATAATTGTACTGGACATGGTGTCCGTGTCAGCCAAAGCCACTACCACTGATTGTTACAAGTGAGAAAACCAGTTAACGAAAGATGTATTTTGTCTTCTGATTTTGAATTCAACGTCCCTTAATCCTGCCCGTTACCACAATTTGTAATTGTTTGTTTACTAAGAAAACCACCATGGGTAAGTTGTTATTCATTGTCAGCATCGCCGAATGCATTCTCTCTCAACTAAGTGCTCTTTTTCTGGACAAAAGACTTTAGCCGAAGCGTAGCATCTTTCTACTGCACGTTCCCTTTGAAGATGCTAAAGCTGTTCCGTCACCCAATCAGTAGCGTGAACATAAATAGGAGTACATCTCACATGGGCAAGTATGAAATCGTAAGCTTGACAACACGTGAGCTTCCTGTTGTTTGATTAGCTTCCGTTTATCGTTCAGTTACAGGCAGGCGTATCTTCTTTGATAACCGGACCAAATGGTAGGTAGTAGCGGATTATACCTACATGTCTGTGGACCGGAATTCCTTTTGCCATGCAAAACACTCTGGTTAGACAACCGGGTGCTGCCCACAGGGTTCGCTGATGCAGCGTACCACGTCGAGTAGGAGAATGAGTGACTGAGAAGGGGGCTGGATACAGTACCAATATAGGTTGGAGTGTCCTTGATTGTGGGCCAGTGGAAATTCGATCAACCAGTGTCCAATACACCAAAATGGGCTCCTAACTGTTGCTGCGTGCTGTGCAGGCTATGTTATTGATCGATTGAATCACGAGAAATGCCCATCTAGAGCAATACAAAAATGCTCATTTGATAGAATCAGTCAAATTGAGACATTGAGTAAAGAATGCTTTTTGCTAAATCTCATCAGACTCATACGTTAAACGATGACAAGTACATGCTAGATGTGCCATACAGGGCTGCATGTTGACTAGAATCTTCAATTCCAACAGAATCAAATCGATAAATCGCGCAGTAAATGAAAGTAGCTGTTTAACTACGAGAACAAATCACTTCGCAACCAAAGATTAACCGGGACATAAAGCACAGGATCATGCGACGGAAGTCGTAGCCCAAGGTAGAAGTAAAGGACGTACAAACTGATTTGTGCGCACAACTTCGCCTTTAGGGAACGCATATAAATATCTTCCGCAATAGACAGGAGATGCTTCTGGAATCCGGGCGAGAAACGCTCATGAATGGAGTGAAGGACCCTGAAGTCGTTTTCGCAGCCTGCTTGACCGCCCTCTAAGTGGTAAGAGATGATGGAGCTATTAAAACCTCGCTAGTTCGGAATGTGTTCGCTAATCCTATTAGATAGTCACCTCGTAGTCCGATTGACGTATCGTGCGCACAGGAGCACGAGTACTGATAAACAAACATTGATCGAGTCAGCGGAGGCACTTTATGTTTCAAAGGTTTTGCGAATGTTACACGTGATCCACAAGGTTCAAGTCTCTATCACAGTCATCAATATTTGGTGGGCAGAACCTAGAGAAAGTCGGATGTAGAGCTCTATTATGAGAGCGGAGCACCGAAATATCTTAAATAACAATACAATCTCAATCGATCTACAAAAGCATTACTTAGTTCCCTAGCTTGGTCTAGCACCGATCCACGTTTACTGTGGTCAGTAATCCCGTAATCCTGACACTTGGGGTTACTGATACACCCCTTGGGAATCAAATTGAGAACTGGATGGCTGTTTTTAATCCGGCTTATCGTAAGCTCATCTTATCGCTTATAAGGATGTCGTTAGGTGATCACTGACTTCCTGATGATGCGACATGACCAGGACTTTACAAATCAGTGATTCCGACTGGCCATTCTGTTAATGTGTACAAGCAACTTCAACCTGGTGAACTGTTCACTTAGTACCACAGAAGGCCCTATTTGCTAACTCCTCCAGCAAAGCCTTACCACACTTGTGGCCGAACTGACTCTGTCAGCAAGGAAGTATGTGCGTGACTTTTATATTTTCTACTGAACTCATCACACAGTAACAATGTACCGTACCCAAACCTCAGCTTCGTAAACAATCTATGGCATCAATATGGGGTTTATACAAAGCGTACCTTTTAACATCTACTGGACCATGACATTACGCCCCTTACTGAGTTACATGATGTCTTCGGTGGGACTTTCCCAGCAGCAGGTGAAGCGCTGCGCGCGAAAATGCATCCTGCAACCGTGCTTGACTCGCTTTGTCGCGGTTTATGAAGTTACATGCACGCACGAAGGCGTACAATTCGCTTGGGATTGGACCACCGGGTTTGTTATGACGTGTGTGTATGACTGCATTAAACGGCACAACCTGGACGTGTTCAAATGTGACGAACTGTTGAACAGGTACAGAGTATACAAGTGAAACCACTTTGTTCGGCGGGCTGGTGTACTGTAAATTAGAGCTGTGTGAGTACTCGCTTCTGCAGGACAATGAAGGAGTCCAACTGTGATACTTATTGATCTGTTCGATTTCGTAGCGACTGCCAACGCATTTGGTCATCGAAAAGCAGCGGATAGGTGCTTCCTTCAGGATTCGGAACAGCGCTCATGGTCTCGTTCAACCAGAGGCTATCCAATTCTATGAGGATGAAGATATTCTGACCCAGATGCAGAAAACTTTTCGGTACATAAACTCTCAACTGCGGTCCAAGGGCTTGATTGTACCTTCCAACTGTGTGGTTGTTTACAATTACCACGCCCTGCAAAGTTGAAAATAGAAAGTGCTCAGCATAGCATGTTTGGGAAAAATCGAGCTTAGAGGGCACGATATCGAAAATGTGAGAAGCTACTTCTGTTAAATATCCGTAGACTTAGAGGATTCTAAAGCCACCGTATCCGTTATTAAGTTCTGTAGCTATCTCATCAGGATTGCTACGCTTAGGTTTCTAGATTCTAGTGGTTTTTTGTCATCGCACAACTCTGTTAAGCTGCCCTAACAAAGTTACTCTAGTCCTTTCAGCAGCTCTGATTAAATATTTACAGATTACCGTGTGAAGTACTGACCGTTTTCTACCTATGGCAAATAGGATTAATAAACAGACATGAAGGAACTGACTACTACTCAGGAGATCAAAGAGGTTGTCATGGATTAACCGATACGTATATGTTTACTTATTTGGTCATGACTCAGACACTTAATTATCACGGACCTAATGATCCTGGCCCTCGTCTCCCTCATAGGAATGCTTAGGAAATGCGGTAAGAAACTGTGTATATATGCTGATGAGGCTATAGCTGGTAGATCAACGTACGCATAAAAACGGCAAACACATTACTTGTTGGGAATTTCAACAACTAGAATCAGCGCACAAGATATATGTTCAGTTCAGTTCAGTTAAATTGGTGTTTGCAGTAGTGTTTGTCAGACTCAAGGAGAGCTTTGTCGTCCGCATACTCCAGGTTTGTCAGTTGGTCACCTGGCAGAAGGTCCACTCCGGTACAGTATGAAAGAGCAGAGTCATTAATGATCACTTCGATAAAAAGTTGAAGAGGAAATGAGCTTTAGCATGACCCTGGGGAATCCTACTGGCTATGGGGAACTCAGGAGATAGTCCCTTGTAGATCATTATACTGCCTCGAGAAACACGGTAAAGAGACTGTATAATGGAAAGGCACTTAGCTGGCATGCTCTTCATGCATAGGTAGCGCCAGAAGCTGGCGCGGTCAGCAAAGTCGAAGGCGGCTTTCAAGTCAAGGAAAACCACCACCGTCGGTCGTTTGCAGATGTGTCATTGCTCTGAAACTTGGCGAAGAGTAGCTATGTGTTCGATACAATCACGGCCTGGGTGGAAGCCAGTAATTCAGTTCCTACGATGACCAGTAATTCGCGGAAGAATGATACCCATGAGAAATTTGGGGCAATGGAAATAAGGCTACTACCTTGATGATTTTCTCACAAAGTGCGCCGACCCTTCTTGAAGGTGGGCCCGATAGTCGTGAGACTGCAGACACCACTTCAGTGTCCCAAATCATGTTAAATATTGAAGCAAGTTCTTTCAATAAGGAGTCAACTCCATCTGTTAGCAAAGATGGACAGAAGTTGTCGGATCCAGGAGAATGGTTTCGTTTCAAAAAGGCGAGCTCAAGTAAAATCTCATTGGAAGTGGGACGCGTGATATCAGCATCCCACGTCAACTCAGGTGATTCAGCAAGTGGCAGCGTGGTAGCAAGCTTACTGAACTTCTGTTCAAAATGGTCCGCCCAACAGGCTAGTGAAATACGAGAATAGATCAGCTGCCCATCTTTCTCATCTACTGTCTCATTAACTGATGGTCTTCTCAGACCCGTGTTCCCGATGAGCTGGGATAGCCCTCAGATGTTTTAAATAGTACTGGATTTCTGCATCTCGCAGGTCTTTGCCCCTCACTGACATTCCTGATCAATTAAAAGAGTTCTTGTCAATCCCCATTTCAGGGCTTTAAGGACACGATGAAACTCAGTGCCCCTCGGAACACGTTGACGCTCTTCGATCAAACTGATCGATGCCTCAGGGATCCATTCACAGTTACGACGTCTCGAGTCGGGTGCACAGCAAGCGCCAAAGGCATTTTTCATGGCATATTTGATAGGTTCCCAGGCATTTTCCGGCTCGCCGATCTCATTCATCACTACCAATTGGTGGACCAGTTCGTTATCATATTGTAGAACTGCAGATTGCGAATTCAAGTTGCAAGTAAGAAGGTTAGAAGACAAGCGTTTCTTTAAAGTGGGAAGTGTGAGCACCAAGTGGGCACGCACTAAAGCAGGGTTGCAATCTAGGCGTGTGCTCCAAATTGCCCGGTAGTCTTGGACTGATGTGCGGCATCTGCAGCTGATGACAAAATGGTTAATTTGGGTCTAGGTCATGGAAGGATTTGGTGGGCCTCAGATGACGCGATGAGAACGTTTGCGCTGGAAAGGTTGTGGTCGGCGCACGGTTAGAAGAATCAATCACCACCATCGGTTTGGTGTGAATCGACCCCGAAGTGGCCTCCAAGGGGTTGTTCAGAGTCTGAAGGCTGACCTACTTGAACATTCAAGTCAACAACAATAGCCACACTATCAGTATTCTTCACCATGCGAAGAATGGATGAGACTTCACAGTAGAAGTCGCGTTTGATGCCCTCCGAACTGCATTCAGTGGGAGCATAAATGGGGGCGACGAGAAGGCGCTTTTTCTTCAAACATAGCTTATTAATTCCAATTGACTTTGGAAGTCGAATGGCACAGATGCGGCTGTTCAACGGCATCTCATCGGACAGATTGGTTTCAATATATATTATGTGGTTGCTTGGGAATATCTATTTAACATTCATTTTTCATGAATCATCTTGGTTGTCGTTATTATCCTTCATATCGTCTACCTCTTTACCGTTGTTTAAACGCTCCACTTCTTTAATCCGATTGGCAAACGTACGCCATTATCAATGGAGACTCACGTTACGTGTGTTTCAGCAGCATCATTTCAATGCATGTATTCGATTGGTGTTTATTTCTTTAAAGTGTTACTTGATGATGTTAAGGGAATGTTTACTTGACATGCGTTTGCAGCAGTTCTTAATTCCGCGTTTGCATTTCTTCTTATCATTTGTTTCGTGACCCTTGGTTAAACACATCATGTCGTTATTTTGATTGGCTAGTACCTGTCGCTGTGAACGGATGTTCACCTTAGGCTTTGGGTCACGTAGCGCCAGTTCCAATGACACATCTGATTCGTTCAGCATTCTACGGCTGCTCATTCGGTTGCTGCACTTATTCTTCTAATAGTTTCCTTCCAAACCCTTTTCAAAACTGTCTAAGCAAGTGTGATTTAATGCATTCAAGTCTTTCCCGGTTCGTCTTTGGAGTTCTTCCTGCAGTCGTGAGGTGAAGGCGTCGGTTGCGACCCAACAGAGGGCGACGCCAACGCCGTAAATATCTTGATCAATTGATTCAGTATCGCCAGAGACGCGAACATTGTAGTCATTGTCAGTATATCCAAAACATGAAGTCGAAAATTCGTCACAACGCTGTTCTCGTGTATGTGTGTTTTGGAGACACGGCACAAATCAATAACAAGAGGGTGAAGAGTGAGAGTTCTTCTTACCTGTTGGCCGAGCTGACCTAGAGTGCGGATGCTAAAAGAACATATGTGAAATGCGACTCTAAGTTTGACGGAGGAGCAACATGTATCTATGGTAGCAGATGCGACGTCGGCGGCAGTATCTTGCTCAATAATCAGGGAAGAAGCGTTGAAAGGAGGGAAACACAGGAAGAAGAGGGAGCATTGTCGACGGGATCGAGAGGACAGATAATACGCTCCGGCTGGTCCATTCCGAAAGGTGGGTTTTGTTCGAAGGGCCCTACCTCTAGCCTTTGACTCAACAGCGTGATTCACATGACTGTGGGGTACATGGAAGTTGGTTTGGGGCAACCCAACAGGAAACTTTGGCTCAATAAGTTGATCCACAATGCAGTGGAGAACAAGTGTAGCTCTCGTGTGCGATTGCAGAATCCCACTGTGATCTCCCTGAGGCCTGTCACAAAAAGCCTTTGAAGAGTTAGAATAGTGAACACGTGTTGTACGACCGTATTATGTTACGCATGAATATTACGTATTAAGGTAACCACCTGCGACCAGGGTCAGACGCAGCGAGATTTGGCAAGTTTGTACCAGGTTGACCAGGGGCTGCCTGGCTTGAGGAAGGCGGTAGCAAACTATTGAACAACGGGCGGTATCCTCCCACCGTCAGACGCAATGCGTGGCGCTTGTGCTCTACGCCAATCGAGCGGTGAGCTTATAACCCGTAGACCTGTTGTCTCCCATGGCTAGGTTTTACGCGAAGAGGGCCAACGACTTCTCCCTAACCTTCGAAGAAGATTGGGTTGTGAGACTGAGTTGGTGTGACCCCTAACCATTGACCTGTCTGATAGCAGTAGCTCTGACGGCATTTGTAAATGCCACCCAGCGTAGCTTAGTGAGTCACGGAGGTACGCAAACCATCACACCACGTTACTTCTAGTCTCGTCGTGATGGACAAGATACATGAGTGTAGTAGGATTTTAAAATATGTATCATGACATGATCGGTCTGGGTGCCACACATTGGTCACCAAGTTCCTATCCATGAAAACGATATGCGTCAACACAGCTCTTCACCGTATCATAAATCGGTCAACTTAGTGAACACCGCTGCATAGCACAATGTCTATAGATGGCACACATATGGAAACGCAAGCAGCCGAGTCCCAAATAATATTCTCCTGCAAATATCCACAGCCCATGTTCAACAGACGGTTCAGTGAAATGCTATAGAACTTAGCACCAAGTCATAATCGGCCTGCATTATTCATTTTCACTTGATAGATCCGTCAGGTACAGAGAATGTATCGCAGTTACACGTCTTTAGGTTGGGTTTATATACGAAGTTGCTATCACTGATTGTAGTCTCTGTCCATCATCGTTCGAAGGACGAAGTTCTCCTACGTTAGCTTCTTGCATCGTAGATGGCGTTGCAGTTTGCTACAACGATGTCGAGATCACACTACCGAAGTTGGAGAACGAGCACGCATGCGTGGTAAGGAACAGTCTAGTCACTTCATACCAGTATAAAGGTAAAGTCATGACAGGGAAATCTTGTGCGTGTATCCAGGAAAGTGGGTGGTGATGGCGTGCAATAGCTATATCGCTTCCTCAAACTGGAAGAATGATTTATCTGTCTGGGGTAGCATAGTAGGATCATTCGGGTTTACATAGGGGACACTAACCGACACTCCAATTAACGATGCGTAGGACATTCAACTCAACTGAAGTGCATCGATAAATGAAAGCGATTAGAAATGAGTAAATAATTCAGTTATTAGTGGACTACCGATAGTCTGGGTTAACCTGTGGATTCACTGAGACATAACTTGACAATCGCACAGGGATTCATGTGACCGCGAACATCCAAGCATCATTTAATAGTGGGAGGCAGACTACCACACCAGCACTCAGTAATTTGGAACAAAATCATCTACATACCTGAAGTCATACCCGCTGTACTGGAGCAACATCAAGTGCACTTTCTGGGTCAGATCGCGTTAGAAGACGATGTTATGGCCTCGACACTTAACCGAATTCGCCCATGCGTTCACGCATCGCTGCTCATGTGTTCACCACAGCTATTGTGAAGATTGTTCTCAAGTCGGCCTCGCAAGGGACCTCATCGCTGCAACCTTCGCTGCCTTATCAGCCCTGCGTACCCGCATATTTCTGGGATAGGTGCACAAGTTTTCCAGGGTATGAGCTGTGCACAGCTGTCATGAACGGGGTTCATTACACCATTTAGGCAGGAAGTAGATTTATATTTGCGCTTTAAAATCCACTCGGTGAGAGAGAAACTGATAACTGTGCATGGCTGTCCGATGAAACGAGGTTGTTCCAAGGACGGTTCTACTGAAATGTCACTGTGATCACATGGTTCTGACAGGCGAAATTAGGCAGAAAGAGCATAAGCCACGACAGAAGTTACGTCAGCAGCTAGACATAATGTCCGACGCTGCTCAGTGTGAAGCGAATGAGGACCTTCCATCTGACTAGTAACCACATTATTCCAAGGTTATAATTCACATTTTATGCTATCCCCTGAGCTATTTTCGCTTTCGTAATGCCTTTCGTTGTTCTTCCGAGTTTTCTCCTTAATTATCATTTTTCTGGTAGATCTGACCATCGCTCCTGGATTCACCGCATCTCAGTGTTGAGATCCTAGTTGAGCATTAGAATCGAAATGAGCTGCACCCACAACTTCACTAAAATAAGAACTGCTAGGAAATACGGTCGATGGGTCCTTTTACCTTTCCCCCCGCCATATCCGCACACGAACAGGCCACTTGACACCTCTACATTTGTGAGCCTGGTGAATACCGTCCTCAGTTGAGCGATTTGTGTTCACCTGCGCAAAAGTAATGTGCAACAGGTAATTGTTTGCACCACAATCTATCAGTACGGTGAGCATGCATTCTTACCCGACGAACGCTTCATGTTCACTCTTCGAAGAACCTAGTGATGACATCTGGACAGTCCGGATTTATTCCGTTTCAATATTCGTTCGACGGTAGTCTTCCAGAAAGTGATGAGTTTTCGCAGCAAAAAAACAACGGTCTAGTCCAACCTCACTGTTCTGCCATTAACCCACTACATGTACAACTCGTGCTTTAGCATGAAGTCATTATGTGTAGTTTTCCACCTTAATCTGGTGCTAGTTCTTTTAAGCACCGAGTACCGCAGTGGTATTTCCCTGACCACTAACTCGTGTTTGTTTTTAAGCGCAAATATTTTCATCTATCGATTTATCCCCAGTCTAGGGTTGTTGTTATACCTGCGTGGTTTTCGACTGTGAATAATTATGTTGTTGATGTGAGGGGTCATCTTGAAACACTTGTTATGAAAATGGATTGCGACGCGCAATCTCAATGGGGGCCATGATTCGCGAGTAAGTGAATGTTGGTCAACTCGATCACTTGGACCGTAACTACTAAAGCAGATGGATGTTGGACTTTACTCGCCTTGAAAGCACTGCACTCTCCTGCACTAGAAAGGGTAGGTGCTTCAACCAAAGGCAGTTGACGTCTGGAAAAAAGCCAGTTCATGGGAATGCAGAATGTGGCAAATACTTTAGGATATTTTATGCACCCTGTCTGTTACTGCTGCCTGCTGAGGTCAAACTACTTCGAACCTGGTCGTGGGGTACAGTGTCGTCGAGTGGGCAACGCCTGTTAACCAGCTGTTTGCTCATGTTATCACTTACCCACCAGTTCGACTATAGAAACCACATTCGCGAACTAATGCGAAACTGTTGGCTGCTGTATACACATTTGCAAGACTCCAGTGAAAAAGCAATCCACCATGGGAAGTGAATTTTTATCATCGATGTAGTATCTAGCACACGGAGCACAAAACGTACCATGCAATTTCTAGTGATATGCTCGTGTGTTATGTACCAAAGCTGACTTAAGCAACAACACGTCATGTAACCAAACTCGTTAGAAGAGCTTATGCAGCGGGAAAAATACTCACTAATTTGGGACATTCCCTAAGACTGCTCAATATACTGCGCTTCATTGCTAGTAAATTTAGAAATGCAAGCGCTATTCGCCGAAGGTATTTGCTTGGTGACTACATGGCCCAGTGCTGAGAACTGGCTCTAGCAAAGTAATATGCACACTTTTTACAAGGATTACATCTTCCATCCAAACCAATCGTTACATCTGAACCTATGTGTAAGTACGCGTACAGTAACAAATTGGAACACTGTACTCTGTCGTAGGTGAGGTATTTTAGCAAAATGCTCTCCGACTGAAACCTACCCGAGTGAAGTTGAGGGGTTGGACAAATGTATCCGCCATGTCCACTTCTGCTGTAATATTCAGGATCCCAGCGAAAATTGATCCAGAAATAGGCCAACTTAACGCGGGAGTCTCAGGATAATCGTACGATGTTTGGGATTCACCGGATAGCCTATGGGAGTGGAATGTGAGGACTAGAATAACAACTGTACAAACAGTTCGTATAGATTGCGATTTCGAGCATTTGAGGGGAAGTTGCTTGGTTTGGAACGAAAGACAAACGTGATCGGTGGATATAAGACCATGGACAATGTATGGGTGGCAGCAGGATAGATAGAGTTCGCTATGTTCACCTTAGGAAGAATGCAATAGCTGTCTGAACGTCCAGGTAAAGAATACGGGTAGTGTGGGCGGCAACGTGAACAACCTAATCCAGCATGGCTTGTTGTGCAGCAGAAATTGACTAACGCATCACTACATTGAAATATACTGAGAGGAATCTCGTTCATGTTGAGAGTTCTAACAAGCACTTGCGGATTACCTCCATGATTAGTTTCTGAAATATTTGTGCACATGTATTAGTGGCTTTCGGGGTTGGTCATTCCGAATTCACAAGCCATTACATGCAACTTCTCTGTTTTCTGTCGGCACAAAATACATAAACGTATACTTCTTTTGGAAAATGTGCCAACCCGTTGACCAAAACTGCAAGCTCTGGCTTTAGTCAAAATGTCTGGGTGTGAAATGCTATCTCCAAGTGGTTGAAGTGATTGCACCAGGTACTCCGTGAGACACGCCTCTTATAGAGAGTGATAAATCCACTTAATCGTAATGACAATAGAGAATTAGCTTGTGCCCAGAAGGCTATTTCAGCAACACCTCTCTGACGAAAAATTACCCTCCCATCCAACACTTCGTTCCGTGACCATTAGGTGAACGAGCTCAAGACAAAGTTGGAGTTGGCTACATTCCTCATGAGTTTTCCGGTACGACTGAGATCTTACCATTAATTAGTTAAATTATTGTACGTTATCCTTGTATGGAAGGCACGGAGAGCCGTAAAGATATAAACTGATGGAAACCAGTGGCATTTATTTTTCTCATTGAACTAAGGTATATTTCTAGGGTTAAGAGCCTGAAATTGACAGGCAATTGTGGCCCGTTCACAAACGTAGGATAATTAGATTCATTCTTAAAGATTGCGCAGGTTCAGAATCGATACAAACCTATAGTGACCACGCCAAAATGGGGACAAGCGTTAGTTCCAGCGGATCATTAAAGGGGACATACTCAACTAAAAGTTTTTACAAGAATTTACGAATTACGCAGGAAGTACCGGAGAAGTGTCATCATCATCATCAACAGCAGTACATCAGCCATTTGAACTGATGCTTCGCTGCCATACAACCATGAGGATCTATGAAATAAAGAATAAGAAGAGGGAGAGAAGGGGGGACTTACCTGAAAACCTTAATGCCCTAAGCAAACATTCAGGGTCAAGGCGCCTACATCTTGTGTAGACAACATACCGTCACAAACAGCTGGCTAGCGTGCAAAGATAAGGCGGCATTGGCGAGACAGCTTCCTTGCGGCTTTCACTGCCACGCGTCATAATCAGCCATTAGCCCGCAGATAACTCAGCACCAAACACACTTTAAACAGGCAATCCGATTAGGAGACGGCAGCAGACGCGCCACTGGTGTCGGTTGCGTACCATGTCCTGTAAAGTCTCGAGCCAAGCACAAAGCAAGTCACCTGGACTCCATCCCGGAAAGCGATACGGACCAACGGCACCCAGTTTGGTCGTCAGTGACGTCACTACTCGCTGCCAAGTCAACTTTTGTCCGCCTCGAACCTTGCGCCACCCTACACCTGGCAGACTAAACAAGGCCCTCCTAGGTAAGCGGTGACCAGGCATACGTAGCACGTGCCCGAGCCAACGCAACTTATTCAGTGCTATCTGTTGTTCTAGGGAGCTAGCATGATTATCACCACCTAGTAATCGCGGAGAAGTGTGGCATAATGATACAACAGATGGAGTGCGGTGGTGTGGGTACTAGTAGGTTTGGAGTGCTAGCGTTAACCAAAATGGAAAGCGAACACATGGTCAAACAACAAGCATATGCAGGTGCCTACACACTTTAGACAATGTTACTCGAACTATTGGCTTCTGTTAACCACGGAGCGCTGTAGGGGCGATATGGATGCAATCTGCCTGGAGTAGAAAGATCCAAACATGATCGTATAATGAAACCGACCTTGTGCAAGTTTGACGTACTTTGTTTTAACAAGTACGCATGATGGAGTGGCCAATGTACAGTGATTTCGGTAAGGCCATGTGAAGATAGAAAGTTCATTTGCATTATCATACGTTTGAAGCAGTGTTAAGCAGATGCATCGGACCGTGTCACATGCGTTGACAGAGGGTGGACCATCTTGCGTCACATTATAATCCACATCCTATTTGCCCATGCTTTGTCACTCAGGGTATTGTGAATAGTGCAACTTAAACCGCCCGTGGTATGCTTGCTGGCATGTTTTTCTCCATGTGAGTAGAGTCGTATAGACAGTCTAATACGTGAGTCAAACTGACAACCAGCTTGGCTAAACTACTGACCACCTCCATAAGATTTGGTTGCTATGTGCCGCTCGAACTTCCTGTCTAAAGTACATGGGTGAAATACATTGTCGTATTTATTTATCAGATGAAGGCCAATATCTTGGTAGCGAGGGGTACACGGACTTCCTGCAAGGAAGTTTCCAACTTTATGACTACCAATGTGGTTGGCAGCATCCGGTTTCGGATTTGCCTGTCACTGTGGCCAGCCACAGGACGCCTGCGCCTACTGAGGGACTATGGGTAGCTTGCGCTGCATCACCCACAGCTCCAACCACACACCCCATATGCAGTGCAGACCCGAAGGAATAAGACCGGGAGGCATGGGGATGGGAGCCATTTTTCATTAACGGAGCCGGCTCACACTGCTTCACAGCCAAACACAAGAACACTATAGTTGTGGAATCAAGCGCACACAAAGTGGTGGATATACCGTGGTTCATTCTATACTGAGTGCATGGAATCACTCTTCGAGCCTAGCACGACCACAAGGACCGTGCACCCCGTCCCCTCCAGTAGCGAGTATTGACGAGGTAGTGGATAACAGACAAGTAGGCACCTTGTTAACATACACATCAAGCGCAGCCACATTGGAGAAATCAAGCAACAGCCAATCACTTGAAATGACATTATTAACTAAAGTATATATATTAAAGCATACGGCTATGCCGCCAACTCTTCGCTAATTTAGTATATGAAGTAAGTTGGTTAGCAATGAATCCGCGATAAATACCAAATGTCCAGAATTTATTTAAAATAGATTACAGACGTGATAAAATTAACGAAGCTGAGCGCAATTAGCGTAAGCAACGTGTGAAAGTTAATAGAATATTATTCAGGTAAGCAGAACAACTCAATTAAAGTGGAATGAAATGTATCCAGCTTGAGCAGACCTACCAATGTACTGACTAAGTTACTAACATACCGATTGATGCATATATGTCTTGCTTGCCTGATCAGCGGTAACACAGGCGTGGACAGCGTGCTGAAGACCAGCGTACCTAGATCGAGTCTTCGACATGTCTATATCCAGAACTCATATACTTCACATGCAGTTTACTCGTGAGAGCGTGTTCTCACGCCGAGATGACCAGCGCTGCATTATTTCAATATAACGTGCAGTAGTTACCATTTGCATCACACCATGGTGCATGAGATGATGACTCGAACCCGAGAAGTTTTGCGGAATGAGTCGCACCTTTCACTAAACTAGAGAGGAGGCACACTTATCTAGCAGTCGGTTTGTCGTCCCCTCTCATCACTGCCTGGCAGACACTATAGAAGATGTTACTGACATATCTTAGTCGCTATTACTGATGGCTTGAACACGCTTCCCTGGCGTGTATCATCGTTCTCTAGAACAGTGAGAGGGATCTTCCCACACTAATACTGCTACACAGATTCCAGTCCTTAAGTCCCTGGTTATCCATGGTCATCCCCTTGTGGTTTCACTTAGTTGACGCATATTCGAAGAGATTGAAAGTAAGTTTGCTCGAATGGTAGTCACATACACATGGTCACTATGCATGCCAAATTACCTCACTCGCCCATTCACCTACTTAGCTCCTATATATCCACTTAACTGCCTAATTAGTTACCTGCGCAAACATATGCTTATTCAACTAACTATCTGGCTACTCATTTGCAGACCCCATTGCTTAGCAACTTACTTATTCACGTACACCTTTACTTAGTCATTTGCTCTCTACTTGTATGGTTCCCGATATAGCAACAAGGAAAATAATGTTTACACTGTTAACACAGCCGCAGACAAAAGTTCTTTGGGATTCAAAATCGTGTTCCACGACTATTGGTCTTGTAATAGCTCGTAGTAACTGCAGTAAGGAATCCCATTCCAGTTGTGTACGTTTAAGCGTAGCAACATTGAAAGGAATCCACTACACTCCAGAGAGCGTATGGTCAACTCACTCGTAAGGTACGTCGACGTGCTGACACAGCAAAGTGACAAAATGATAACGATTGTGCAGCCTGGGACGGTTGGTATAGCGGTCGAATCAGAACCTGCTGCAGCGGGACTCGACTACTGTTGCTTAAACTTAGGCTCAGACTTGGAACAGAATAGCCCAAACCAATGCATAGCCCACAGCGTAAAGCCGGCAACTAAAAAACAGGCGCCATACCAGGATATCTCAAACATAGCGAGCCTAGTTTTGCAGAGCGTGGTTTCTCTCAGCGGTGTGCCTATGTCACATGTTACTCTATTATATTTGGGTTTACCTAATAATAACGAAAATCTGACAGCATACACACCCGCCATCGCTGCATCCAGGCCCAAGACAAAGTTAGCGGGCACGGCAGGAATTAATCCAAAGAGTGGTAGCAATGACACGAAAACCAATGCGCTTCTGAGAAGGCACACTTTCATCCAAAATTACGAACACAACGACGACGACTCAGAACTAGACACAGATAATATGCTCCGACGTGTTTGAGTCAAAGTCAAACTCTATCAAAGACAATCTACGGGACGACCCGGGACATCGGAAATCCATAGGCCAAGCATTGAGAAGCCAGGCCAAACAGGCCGGTTTGTTTCGCATCATCTGCCACCCAGACGCGGTTCACTATGGCGAACAACGGCTACTTCAGTTGATATTTCAGTCGGGTAACTAAGCGCAAAACGCCCTCTTGTCAGTAAAGCAGCTTCATGCTTCGTCATGCGGTCATGGCATATTCCCTGATATCCTTTGAAGTGCGCGGTGGCAAGGAAGCAAAATTCAGGAGAATAACGCAAGCAAACCGACGGCAGATTGAGCTTTGTCTATCGTGACCTGAAATCTAGTCTTCCAATGAGTCGCGGGCCTACTCTCACTAATTGCAAGAGTAGCAATACCACCGCTAAGCAGACTCTATCCACGATGTGATTGTTAACGTGACGCCGAGATTATCAGTATCTCCCTAGTATGAAGAAACATGTCCAAATGTGCTGAAAGTCCTACCCTAGTCTAGACAAACTGTTGTAAGGTTGCTCGAAAGTTGACACAAGTTGGGCAACAAACTGATATCAGAGGTACGTATGAAGTCGCTCGAAGCCAGGAGACCACTGGCTGCATGAACACAAAACCAGCAAGCAGTGGTCGTTGGCCACGCTCACTGCATTTCCGAACCGGAGTGCAGTGAAACTGTTCAGCTATCTGAAGAGGTTGCTAGCCGACCTCAGAAGGGTCGGCGAACATTCGCGAGAAACGTTTGTGTGTCCAGACACTCACCTGACATCCGTTGTTCTCACTCGTCTGCATACAAATGCCAAAGGGCTTCTCAGTAAATTGGTCATACTTCGATCTCGGCAAACCTTGATGTGTTGGGACTTCATCATGTTAACCGAGACCTGGCTCAAAGATGCCGAGATCGGACTGCATGATATGTCACTTAAGAGCAAAAAGCGACCCACAAAGAGAGGCGGTATACTTCTCTACTACCGTTCCGACCTTCTCTCCGATCGCGTAAATTACCCCGGGATTCCAACCGTGGACGCCATATGGTGCTGCCTACACCGAAGTTAGGGCTATACGTTTTTATTGGCCATTGTATACCGCCCACCAATGTCCACCCTAGAAATGGACAAGGCCCTATCTGCAGCGTTGAAGTAACTAAAGGAACGATTTTACAGTCACATTCTCCTGGTAGGAGACTTCAATCTGCACGGTCTAGAATCCCCGGTCACGCTCGCGGAGCAATTCAAGGCGGACCTGCAAAAGTAACTCGTTGGTTCACCGCTGTACAACCACGTCACTTCTCCAACGCGTTTCAGGGCAGAAAACAAAACGGCCATCTTAGACATCCTTTTTGCCAACGAGGAACTGATGATCGACGCAGTAACGACGTGCACTCCGTTGGGCCGCAGATATCACGCGACAATAGTGTTCCAATACTTGTGCTATACAAAGTATCCTAAAGAAAGTAATGAGGAATCATACCTCATAACTAACTAGGATAATCTGTCCGAACTCATTGGTGGGACCAGCTGGTCTTTCCTAACTGAATGGTTACCTGAAGTTGCCTGCTGGCAATACGTCAATAGATTCAACAAGCTCGTGACAAGCGCATCTGAAAGCAAAATCCTCTGACCCAAAATGATGAAGACGTTCCTTAAGGAGCAGGACTCGGAAATGCATGGCATTGAGGGAGTTGCCATGGCACGCGCCCATGGCCCCCCCGAGTGAGGATGCATGGGGCGTCTAGACAACACAAAGGAACCACTGTGTCAAACTCGTCCGGGAGGATAAATTAAGGAACTAACAAGACCTTGTGGTAAACTGTTGCTCTAAACCAAAGGTGTACTACTGACACATAAACAAACTTCGCAGCGTCAAGTGCGGAATTCCGGCAATGCACACAACATGTGGGTTAGCACCAACGGCACAAGAGGTAGCCAAAGTTCCTGGAAACCGATTTGGTTGTACCGTCTAGCGTTTGCAATCATCCTACACCATGCCTACTCAGCTGATGCCGTCAGCAGACCTTAACCAAATTTCTTTTAAAATCACAACCGTAGTTAATCGGTTGCTGTTCTTGCGCGAGTACAACTCTTTGGATGCGGACAGCATTCGCCCGAAGGCGTTGAAAGTTGCTGCCATGCGTTTAACTGAGCCGTTAGCAATATTCGAGACAGAGTGATAAGGCATCCAAAGGAGCAAACAGTACTTCGGCCTTTTTCGTAGTATATGCTTCTTTCTGAAAATGCTTAACGCTTACAAGAGGCCGCATGCGGGATATTCAACTCAGTCAAAACACATCCCTAAGGGGTCACCTGTTTAAGCTGGTTACGCAGTACAGCCGACTGGAATGTCGACGAAGCATTTTCTCCCTCAGAGAACCACAGCTTTGGAATGCTCTCCAGGCGCATGTAAATAATGCCCCCATGTTCTCCCTGTTCAGATAACATCTTGTCAGGACTCTGACACATCTACACCACGTGATATGGCCAGTGACCATTAGATGACGGCGTTAGTGCACAACAAACAGTGGACGGCATATTAATTACCCTATGACCCAGGCAGAAATCCTCGCAGGTGGGCTACTCCAAACCTCCTGGCGTATCACATATTGCACACATTCTTTTAGTGTTATTATTTCTCACTTGGAAATCTTCACCCTAGCCATACTACTGGACACGTGGAACATTTGTTTATAAACCGTTATAAACGATTGTTCCTTTGCTACCTCGTACCTGAATTACTTAGTTACCTGCGTACCTACTTCGGCTTGGGCAACCGGGTGGTATCTCGCCCTCTGACGAAACCATGGACTCCGATGTGTTGTGTTGTGTTTTCTTTTATTATTTCTGTACCTTCTTTGGAGTCGCATGGTTTCTGATGGCTCGATGTCTATTCGTAGACGGTTGCATATATATATATATATATATATATTTATATATATTTATATATATATATATAGCGTACCTATTAACCCGCCCATCTACTTGTTGATCGAATGAGTGCTTGTATTACGTAGTTACTACCCTATTTGCTTGCTACCTTGCCTACTTGCTCAACTTACTCGTTTGCGTGCTTGTTTGTTTCCTTATCTACTTTTAGCAACTTAAAGACTGAAAAAGTTAACTACCGTGTTACCAAGGCTACTAAATCAATAAAGTTCGCACTGGCTCCCAGGATGACCAAGGTTAATCTATTTGTGGTACAAACCACTGCCACTGATCAGGCACAATGATGGATGTAAGAATAAAATGTCAGCATTTGTTTAAAAGAGTACAAAGTAAGATACATGCCAATGATCGAACTGTGACCGTTTCATGCACTCGTCCTTGTTGGACTACCACTGGTATGACCCCAACACATTTTACCAAGTTACAATTTTGCTTGGACAACTAGGTATTGCCATCGAATGCACCAGTATCACAACCCGTTTGTACTCATTAAGGGTGGAATGTTGTCGAAATTTGCCACCCAGTAAACATTTCCGAATACGGTCAATAAAATGTGAACTATATGAATAGAGGTACACTGCGCACTAAAACGGGAAGGTTAACTTACTTTGCTTTCACTCGCTGTGACAATGTCGAGGTGCATGAGTGATGTGACTCCATCGTGAGACACACAGGCCTCATGGTCCAACCAAGCAGCTCTTTGCCATCAGCAGAGACAGGTCCGAGAATGCCCTGAAAGCGATCAGTAAGATGGTAAGTGCAATGGAAGTTTCGCGACTTGTTCAACTCCAGCTAGCACATGAAGCCTTGTATGGGCTGCACTGAGACAGCAGCTAGCTCCAACGTTTCACCATATTTCCCCTCTCTCGAGCGCACATGTGTTAGTACACCTACGCCTTATATACAATCACACCCTTCTGTTCACATTCCCGTACCATTCGTACTTTGTTTTCAAGTACTTAACAGGTACATGTAATTAATCATATTTCGATGCTTAAGCATGTCATCGCTCTCAGCGTAATTCTAGGCCATATTAGCAGCTGGTGATGTATTGACCGTGTTTGTGCAAGGTTGTGGCTAATTGTGGATTGCTGCTGACGTATTTCCCCATGTTGATCACACATCGTTTAGGAAATCGTTACACTTTCGGCCTACTCGTCCTGCTCTTTCTTCCTTAATGGGGATTGGCCTACTCTCTACTCTGGCAATGTCCGACAGCAGATTTGTCGCCGGAAACCCACGCAACATGTCAATAAATGCAGAGGAATTAAAGGCAATCAGGTACGAACAGCAGATTCGGTTCGAACCGGACCAGGTGCGAAGAAAGGAAAACTTAATGCGGCATTTCAGCATTAAGCGTTTATTTCTGACCCCAGAAGGAAATGCAGCTGAAGCAGTTGAAACAGTAACAAGGAATCCCAAAATGAACCAGATACTGGGTTGAGTTTGAGTGGCGCTTTAAACGATACGAGGACATTTTGAAAACACATGGGTGACCCAGATGAGTCAGGCTATTGTTGAGGAATGTTGGTACAACGGAGTCTACATGATACACAATTTTTCTTCTGCTAAAGAACGTCAGGAAGCATTTCTTAACGAAACCGTCCACCAGCTCTCAGTAACTTCGGTAGGTGTTCTTTCTTGTTTAATACTCGATATCAGTGCATGAATCCAGCCAAACAGTATAGCGATGACCTCATCACTTATGCTGGTACATTCGATTTCAAGTACGCACCGTCCAAGCTGCCTACCATGACGGAAGATTATTTACGGGCTCCAGCCATATTCTGAAAGTGATATTAGGATTAGGTTACCGAGCAAGCTTGAACGGTTCCCATGTAGTACACTGGAGCAGACAACCCATGAATGTCAGCATTTGGTTGGCTTCAAGCACGATACAGCCAAGCTGGAGGATTCATCATTCAACTTCACTTTCATTGTCCCAAATCTGGCTCCAGATAACCCTACAGAACAGCAGCACTTGTCGTAGCGAAACCATCAACCGCGTGCTGACAGTGTGGCGAATGGCATTACTTAAGCTCCTGCCCCTACGAGAACCACAAATGCTCAGTGCGCAACCGATGCAACAACAAAGAAAGTCAGTGCCGAACAATTAGACGTGTCAGGACACTTAGGCAAAGACGCAGATCCAGGAATCACTCACATAGGACCGTACAAAACGACGATGGCATGCTTTCAAGGACTGATGCTAATTTTAATTGCCACCGCAAGTACGTTACGGCAAGAATAACAGGAAGTGTAATTCGTTTGCAACCCGATACAGCATCCGATAAAACGATTGTGTCTAAAGATAACTGGAAGCAACTGGGTGCACCAGTCTAATGACAGATTATTAATACGACCAGAAATGCATCCGGCTATAAGATAAAATTACTGGGCGAATTTGACTGTAAGTTGAAAATGACATAAAAGGGCGATTGCGGTACCGTCTGCGTAGTTACTTGTGAACTCAAACTTCTTGGTATTGACTGGATTGATCGTTCGGAACTTCCCGACATCTCCATCGAAAGTTTTGTTTATCAACACTTTCCCAGATCCTGACAGTGTCAAAGCTGCCGGAGACAAATGCACTACGGAAATCCAAAGGAGAGGGAATGGGAGCGGAAACAGTGGATGCATTCCTACGGAACTAGGGAACAACTGCAAATTCGCAAACTCCAAACGGCTGTTCCCCGCCGAAGCTATGATGAACAGCTAATTACATGTTCAATCGGGACTGGAACAGTAGAATAAATTCCCGTGGGTGTTCCATCCGTGGCGCGTCGTTTACCCATGGTAATTAATCGCCCTGATAACTGTAATCTACAAGGGTTAGATCAGCACGCGCGAATCCCACCACGGTCAAGAAAATAGTACCCACTTGACAAGCACTGACAATCCTTACCGCATTGGTTACGCGAAATCAGAACCACAAGTACGAAAATAATAAACACGTTAAAAAGCAAAAGGAACTGGAGACTTACTAATGCAATAAGGAGAAAAACTGAGATGTGAGGGGAATGTTTAGAATTGAGTACTAAGGGCGTCAAACACGGTGTTCAAATTCTTTCACCGCTGGTGATAACAGCACGTTCTCGGTCAGCACACCCAAGGAATCTACCATTCGGAATAATAAACGAAAGTCCTCCAAGATTCAATCAGATCGAGGCTTGTGTAGCTTTATCGAGTGACCCCGGAGAAACGCAGCGGAGCTGGCTGGAACAGACAAGATAAACCAGCCCGATTTTACTAGTAAGTATGCGACAAGTCAACATCAAGTCGCTTCGAGGGCAACCATGATGCATTGAAAACATGCCCAGCTTAAAATGCTCTTTTGGGCAAGAAATCTCACGTAGCCCATAAACCATATAGTTTCCCAATCTCACTGATCACCTGTTCTTGACTAAGCAAGACGGACAAATCTGCATGCAGTATTCCAAGTGTGACTTCACAAGGGCTGTGAATAATCCAATAAACATATCTCCCGTGATGATTCCGAACGCCCTGCGCATCACCTAAAACATTTAGGAACCTTTGCAGGTAGCTTTCCTCCGGTTCTCACTACACTTAAATTTAGTTTGTCTCCTGGGTCAACTTGTAGTTCATTCTCGCCAAGCAGATAGCGCGTTTGAAGATCATTTGCACCTAACCGTAAAACGGAACACTTGGCGTAATTTATGGGTGTCTGCCACAGAGTAGCCCAAACCCAAATTTTATCAAGAGCCCACTACAGATTCCTGGGTCCATCGAAATTGGACACTGTGCATCAAAACTTTAATTCATCGGCAAACATGAGACATGTACCCCCAGTGATTCGGACAACTCATTGAAATACAGAGAAAATAAAAGTGAACCAAGCAACGAACCCTCCATGACTTCACTAAGGACTGATTGTCGGAAGGATAAACTAAACCCCATGAGAACACACATCTCCCTTCCTTCCGGAAATGTGGAAATCCATCTAAAAGCCACCCTAGACCGCAGCTTCCAGGAGAGGAAAGAAGGAGTTACACTGTTGTGCGCTTTGGAGAAGTCAATAAACAGCAAATTCACTGCATGACTCCGATCTACATCATCCACACGCATTCATACGCATTTAGCACATTAGTCATGCAGAGTGGCTCTTGCGAAACCGTGTTGAAGTGGACTGAGCAGAACAAATGCCAGCAGCTGGTCTTTAATCACATTCCTAATTAACTCCTGCAATAACTTGACCAGCATTCTTGTCAAATTAGCTGGTCTGTAATTGGCCGGAAAATGCATGTCGTCCTTTTTAAAAACCAGGCAGACGATAACCTCTTTCCATTACTTAAGCAAGGAGCAGCCCTGAAGCGATAACTGGAACCAACGTGCAAATGGGCCACATCGATCGCTTGCCAGTTCTACAGCAGCTTTGGGTGAATGTTATCCATCCGTAGCTTTAGTAGGCTTTAGTCCCTGAATTGCTCTTCAAACATTTTCTTGTTGTTCTGGCCACCGCAGAGCATAAGCAACGGCTCTCTATCTGCTGCATCGAGCAGGATGGATAGGGGTTTGGATGTTACTGCTCAAGCCTTCCCATCTTCTTATTTCCCCACTTACGTTTTTCTTTCTTACAGTTCCGTTTCAGCTTCATTTTTATCCCCTGTTTTCAACCCCCACTTCTTGGCCATCCCCCACTTTGCTTTGCTAGGCTTTTACCTTCTAGTTTCAACTCACGTGAAGGCGGAGCGTCATTCCTGTCCTGTCAACAAGCACATGTCCAACCAAGCGGTCCACCCCAGTTCATCGGCTTCCATTTGGAGCCCTCGATCCTCCTTCAAACTGGCATGCTTCAATGTACGCACATTGCTACAGATCGGTCAACAGGCGATGGAGAACATCTCCATCGATATCTGCTGCTTCTCGGAGACGCGCCTGCAAAACTCGAGCTCAGTGTTAACTTTACAATAACCTTCAGGTGACACCAACAGGTGACACAAGCAGTATTTACTCATTGCGCCTATCCGGTGACGATGCTGCTTTGAGCACCGGCGAAGCCGGTGTTGGTATTGCCTTGAGTCCCCGGGCTGAAATTGCTTTGGTTGACTGGATTTCAATCAGTAACTGGTTGTGTGCGATCCGATTGGCTGGTTCGTTCAAAACTTGGAAGTCGCGCCGGACAAACAGGTGTCTATTCGTCATCGCTACCTATGCACCCACAAACTGTAGCAATGATTCGGTAAAAGACGACTTCTATCGCCAATTGAACGAGCTCCTTCGCCACAGAAGAAGCTCGCACACTTTCGTGCTGGCTGGGGATCTGAACGCTCAAGTTGGAAAATTATCCACTGATGAGCTGCATCTGGGCGGCCAACATGGTATAGACTCCCGTAATGATAACGGTGAGCGATTACTTCATTTGTGTGAGAATGCTCGCTTATTTCTTGCGGGCACTAATTTCCGACACAACACCCGCTGGAAGGTGACTTGAAGCCCATCAGCCTCGAACCAGCCTTGGACGCAAATCGATCACGTTGCGATAAGTCACCGCTGGAGAGGCTGCGTCCAGAACTGCCGCTCGTTTTGGAGCTCAGGTGTGGACACCGACCGTGCAATTGTATGTGCTGACCTGCGGAGGCGATTTGGCGGAAGCCCAAGACAACGTTGTGAGCGCAATGACAGCAACCAACTGGCGAAACGAGCTGTTCTGAATGCCTATCAGAGTACGCTGATATGCGAGCTGAGTAAGCGCCCACTAGATGCAATTGAAG